TTTCTTGTATAATATAACATAATATTCGTATTAACAAAATTGAAATAATGATGTTACAAATTAGGTAACAGTTACCGATAAAGTTAACGTTTGCATGTTATGGTTATAGGGAAGCGTGCTTCTAACCAGCTCACGTGCGCATTTGCTTAACTCATTACTCGACACATTGCCCAACTCGTCATATTGTCTAATTCAACATATCGGCTAACTCGTCATATTGCTTTATTCGACATATTGCCTTAGTCCTCACATTGCTTTAGTCGTCGTATTGTTTAAGTCAACTAATGACTCGATAAGCACATTAAAAGGACAACAATTACTAATTATATAAGAGATGATCTACAAGGTTAGATTAATGAAATAAAACCTTTAACAGAGGAAACACTGTCTATTGTGCGATGACACTGTGTAACTTGATTTAACAGCGTTACTTAAGAGATAATTTATTTTCACCTTTGCTTTAGACTTTGTCTGAAATTGTCATAAATGATCTCACGTTAAAGTTTTATTTCTACATATTTCAATGCCAACATTGTACAATAACGAGGCATAGATTGATTAAAATTGCGCAATTCTTTTCGGGGGTTAAGCATGCATCAGGTAACATATCGTCTTGACTGAATACACGTGCGAATATAAGGTTAAAACAACATACATTAATATGCTAATGTAACATACCTCGACGCAATGTATCGCATACGGAATTAGTAACTAAATGCGTTATATTCAAAAGGAGAGTTTTTTTTAGATGAAAGAATGATAGCCGATTCGCATAAAGGAGAATGCAACATGTTTCACAACTTACAATCTATTTATGAAACAGCAAATACTACATATTATTTGAACAGGACGCGAAGCGTTCTTGAAACACACATATGCTACTTGTGTATTATGACGGGGTATCCAGAATAAATATTTAGTTTGGAATGAATTATATTATCCTCGGCATGCACCAGGGGACCGGATTAATTCTAATTCATTTATAAACACTTAAACGTTGATGTTTAATCAATTTATAGACAGAAACGCCTTTCATAAGAGGTTTTATAAAATGAAAAATCCTATGTTGTTAATCAAGAAATCTATAACAAACTTTAGATGTATTGTATGAACACGTTTGATGTTTTAACTTTGCTTTAAAGTACATTTGTCTACACGAATATTGCCTTAAGTATATGTATTTATTTTCCGTCCAGACACGATTTTTATTACACATTTAATATTCACAGTTCTTTTAATCATTTTGGACGAATAATGTTCTGTTTCCCGATGTTGCGTGATCAGTTGCAGTGGTGGTTTTGTTACTTTGCCCTCTGTATCACGGCTGAAAGCCACTTTGAATTGCATAGCAATGAAACATACGTGAAAGTGTCATATATGTCTTTTGAAGTCACACATTCTCGCTATCCTAAAACATACTGGATTTGTTTTTTTCCTTTTCGCAGTTCACGTACATGTATATATGCCATAGGTAACTACAAAACAATAAAATGTTTGCTTTATTTGTATACTCCACATGAACAAATACTGAAATAATGCATGGATGGGTACCTGAGGTTTTTATCTACCAGTAAAGTAAAGCAATAATTATTACAGTGTAATTGTGACTACAATCAACCGACGTCATGCTTGCTAGCTGGATCCTCGTATGAAAGCATTTTAAGGTCCCTGACGGGATAAGTATCCAAAGCGGTATGATTTGAAGTCAACAACCTGAGCCACTACGCAATGATCGACCCAAAATGTCATTTCTGTCCTTTTGTACACATAGCGATTATAGCTAGTGAACCAGAAAATATTCTTAAAATAAAGTAAAAGAAATAATACTGACGAATATTAATATGATTTTTAAATAGAAAAAAATAGAAACCCTAAAGAACGCCCAAAGCGGCAAATTTAAAATGTTGCAGTCTCGCGTTGATTGAGCTTGTTCCTGGACTGTACTGGAAAGTGCAAGTTACTGTCCGCGGCCCCTAGCACCGACTTAAGCTTTAAGAATAGAGTAGAGTAAAAGAAGGTTAAGGTACAAGTGCGTGCCAGTATTCACAAAACAAGTTAACGCTCACCAGAGGTAATGAGAAATAGATTATTGTGATGGTAGTCTGGGAGAGAAGTTGGCTTGTTTTTCTTTGGAAAGAACATTAGTTTCACAATAAGCAAATGCAATATCAACAAGGAAAGGCGGCGTTCAATGAACGAAGGTTTGGATTGATATAATTTTGTAACACTTGATTCAACGATGGCAGAATTCCGACATAGTGTGATATGTATAATTTGCACAAGTACATAACGTGTTGATTTTGCTTTCTGTTTGATAATACTGGGCATGTATGTCTGCTTGGTATCACGATATTTAGTCTTGTTTTCTTTTTTTCTATAATTGTGTATGTTATTGTTTGTTTTCCAGACATCATGAAAATATCTCAGTGCAGCCAGCCCCATGTGCTTTGAAAAGTCATCCATTTTCCATCCGAGTTCAACTGAGGTCATCTTATTGTATAAAATGTACTCTCCGGTACAAAGGTAGGACATTTTAAAAATCGATTTGTTCATCTTGAAGTTATAGCCGCGTAGTCCCTCTTTGATATATGTATTTCAAGAATGAGAAGGACAGACGGACGTTTAGTTTTCCTGAGTTGTGTTATGGGGTTATGTAAATATTTTATCTTCTTCGATCTCTAAAACCTGATAATTGAGCAACATAGTTTGACGCCATCAGTCACCTTCTCTCTCGAATGGACGGCCTAAGGCATTATATGTCTGAAGAAACATGTATCATATTATCTTTTCAAGTATGGTGCTGTTTTTATTCCGAGTAAATGTAATTCAAATAGCCGAATGACTGACTGACGTAGTGTTATATATAAAATAGATAAATACAGAATCCCTAAAGAAAGCCAAACACGACAATATTGAAAATGTTGCAGGCTCGGTTTGATTGAGCCTGTTCATGGACGGTACTGGAAAGTGCAAGTTACCGTCCACGCCCCCTAGCACCGGCTTAAGGAGAATTCAACATTTTAACACGGAACAGTAAAATTTTGAATTTAGAAACATCCGCAGATGTTTTCATACGGCGGTTATCATGGAACCTTCAATGCGACACACTAGTGCCATTCCATGAAAAGCGGCGTATGGTCCCCAAGTAATAAAAAGCGTGTGCCCTAAACGAGAAAACAATGGGCGGAACTAATTAAAATATAATTTTGATAGGGGATCAGAGGTTATGAAGCTTGCATATCACAGTTAAGACGTCAAAAGACAAATTTAAAAAGCAGGCAACATATCCTAAGGGTGATTCAACATTATTCAAGTAGGAATATTGGAACACCCAACTAGAAAATGCCGAAAAGTTGAAACTAAAAATACCACAAGCACAACAATAATGTCGTGCTGAACGATCTTCAAGGATCGAAAATATAACATCATTGATTAAATGTACGGGGAGACTTTTTACAGCCGCCACACGGCACAAATAACACGGATGTGATCATAAAATAGATAAATACAGAATCCCTAAAGAAAGCCCAACACGACAATATTGAAAATGTTGCAGGCTCGGTTTGATTGAGCCTGTTCATGGACGGTACTGAAAATTAAGTTAAGAAAATCTTGCAGATTTTTAATTTATCAAAATAAGAGGCACTAATCTAAACCTAAAAAAGAAAACGCTCTTAAAACCAGGTGTTGGAAACGTTTATGACGTCGCGTATCATCATTTCAAATAAATATTTGTGTTTCGTTACACATATCCTTGAATAAATATTCAGTACAAATGATATGTGAAAGCATGTAATGGAGTTAAATAAATTTAAATGCTATCATTCAATTAGTAATTTTAAAGATGAAAGCAAAATCGGCCTGTATAAGTGCCTACAATATCCAAAGAAATGAATGACATTTGTAACACGCACCATTGTCAAAAGCCCCTTCTCATTTTCCTAAATCCTTTTTAATATAGCGCTTGGTAGAGAAACAAACATTTGAGTTGAATTTTAAATCATTAGGAAGATATTCACACTTTAAATTATCGTAAAATGTAAATATTTGAGTGCTTTATGATTACAATCGTTGTATAATGCAATGCATTGTATCATAAAAGATAGAAAGAATTAAATGTTAATACTTTTGTACTTTCAATAATTTAGTAGAGTTTAATATTGTTATTATTTAAAAGGACAAGATCCTTTTAAACATTAAGAGGTTGCATTGTTCAAAAACGGACTTCTAAAGAGACCAGTATAATTAGGCAAATCCTTGAAAAGTAATTTGTGTTTGCGTTATAGCAAACACAAGACGTCATACTGACGTCAGATTTAAGTCAGGTTCTGACGTCGGATGACGGTCGGAAAAACGGTCGGATTTGAAAGTTTTTTTGACATAATAATCTGACGTCAGATAGACGTCAGGATCTAACCATTATCTAACTATTTCTGACCAAAATCTAACCATTTTCCGACCAAAATCTGACCGTTATCTAACCAGTTTCTGACCATTTTCGACCTCAATCTGACCATTTTCCAACCTAAATCTAACCAGTTTCTGATCAATTTCCGACCTCGATCTGACCATTTTCCGATCTAAATCTTAACCTTTTTCTGCCCTAGACATGACCATTTTCTGACCTTAATCTGATCATTTCCCTAATCCTCCTTGTTTACAATGTTATAAATATTTTCTGGCCAATCCTGATTTGATCAAATGTAATGTAACTTATTCTTTTAAGTAACTTTCACTCCAATGAAATGTATAACAAAAAACTAAAAGCAAAAATATGTTTTTATGTTGTTTTTTTATTTAAGATAAAAGTTGCAATTTAAAGCTGATACATACAGTTTTAGTTAATTCTGTAAGGCTAAATACTTTTCATAAACTAAACCAAATAAAGCATAAAATAAGTTAATAACAAAACAAAAAGTATTACAAAAACAATGACATAAATGAAACTAAGAAATCATATACAAATATTAATGAACAAAACGTATGTATGTTTCTATCAAACAAAATAATGAAAATATTTTAATTTTAAGAAAAGTTAAAAGATTCGGATAATAATGTTTCAAGCAATTAATGATAGATATTCAGTATTTTAACTATATTTCTACAGCATTACTAAAACATTTAGTGGTATTTTTCATATTTTGACCTCCTTTTGATAATTGTCACTAACGTATAAATTACTTCCTTTTAGTTACTTCACAAAGTTATACACAAATGTACTTTTAAATATCCACGAGAATTAGCACGAATTTGGAGGTATGATGCCTTTAGATATATGACCTTCTCTCACCACCCCTCGTCTGTCCGGAGGATGTAACATGTTAATGGCCAATGGCGTTTGTAATATCATTTTCACTAAAAAAAAGAAATTTATGAAAATTGGAAACATTACAAGCAAAAATTTTTCATGGTTTTCTGCCCTTATGAAATTTTGAAAGTTATCTTAAATTAATGAACAACTTTGCTAGCTTTTCAGAAGTGAGCTTTAACAAAAATTAAAAGTAAACATAAATACTGAAAATTTAAAAAAACGCTTTAAAACTCCAGTTTTGTATGGATTATATTATGTAATAGAATTTACAAAATCTTACTTTCCCATGATTCATGTTTCTTTTCACATTATCACGTATTTCTGCCCCTCCGACCTTTGAGAGCATGTTAAACGCTTGAACTACCTGAAAAGAAAATTATATTCTAACTTATGTATATTCTACTTTTGAAATAGAACAGTTACGCAAGTCTTAAATTTTTCATAGTTTCAAATTAAAGAGTGTTTAGAAATTGTTGATAATAAATGTATGTTTATGTACTACGTTTTATTAAAAAGTTTATGTTGTTTTGATTACATTTTTCCTACTAATGATTATATGAAGCCTCATTCTATATTACATAATCAATCAATTCGCTCTTTCATTTATTTCCCGTTCATTTATTAGAATGATATTAAAATCTGGTGTAAAGCACATTAAGGTAAGATTTATTCTGATCAAATATTGGACCGTTTGGGAAAATGCCGAAATGTTTGAAACCGAAACGTCTTGGGTTATTTAGGACCGAAACGTCTTGGTCCGAAATGCTCGAAATCGTATCAATTCATTCTCAATTCTCAGATTTAAAGTGACAAAAACATAATAGTTTAACAAGAATATGAAAACTCAGCATTCTCTTTGGTTATACTGAAAGGCACATTATAAACTCTTCACGAGCAGAGTTAAAACATGCCAAATTTGAAATGATTAATTATCAAACATTATCGCGAATTTGTGTGACATTTTGCTTCAACTGTTCAAATAATGATAATTAAATCTAAGAATGCATGCAATTATTTTTCAAATACAAAGAGAAATAAATTACATAAATTGAACTGACCTTTTTGTTCAAGAAAATCTGTAATATTCACTTTATCAATGCATTCCGATACCTGACATACGAATTTGAATTTTCCATCCACGTGGCTGTAGATTCGAATTATAATTATGTTTTCTTTCCTTTTCCTGTCACTATGATTAAATATTAAAGAACTATTAAAAAGTCGTGATTTTGATACATATAATGTACCACAAATGATGATACTGTAACGTTAAATGATTGGAACTCGTTAACAGATCTGTGGCTATAAATAGATTTCATAACAATAACACATGTAATTAACCTATATACAGCGCCACCTATATGTTTTATTAGGTTGCAGCGCCGCGCACGTGGTCTTCGAAAGGCACTTGTATATATATATACACTTATAGTGTAAGCCAAATAACATTTAAAAAAGTTTAAATGATTACAACAGCGAATAAGGATTACCTTTCGTTAATTTTTTACCTACTGTCAGGAAACCGACCAGAACCTGACGTTAGTACGACGACAAAAAGAAACGTCTAATAGACATCGGTTTTTGGACGTCAGATTTACGTCGTATTTTGGTCGCCGACGTCGTGACCAAAATCTAACTATAATCTGACGTTATTTTAACGTCATGTGTTTGCTGGGGCATGATTTCATTAATTTAAGTTTGACGGATGAACTTTCATGTAATCAAATTGACCAAATACTGTTTAATTTGTGTCGCCGAAAATATTAGATTAGAATCATTCTCACGTAAAATTGTATATATCATATATAAACCGTATATACTCAAAGTTCTGCGAATGACGAGAAACAAAGAATAGCAACGTCCAGGAAAAGACAACCCCACAAAATTCACGATGTCTCTGTTACAATGGCATCCGCTGAATACCGAAATACAACGATAATGCAATCAAAAGTAATTTGAGAAACCTCTTATAATCGACCTTTATTCAAAACAATAAATTTTGATATTCTTAAGACTGGGAAATGCTTAATTGTTATTTTACAGTCACTGTTGTAATGTAATTCGCAACGACTTTACGACAACAAGAAATTTAACTCCGGCATTTATGATTTTCTACGTGCATAGAGCATTCTTTTTTCAAAATATGACATTCAATGCAAGGGTAAATGCCACTAAAGTGATGACAGTCATTTTTTCCAATTTTTTGTACCTTTTTTCAAATGCAATATTTGCATTATGAAAGCAGGTAAGAACTTTTATTGCATGAATCGTCACGTTCTTTTCAAAATTATTTGTATCTTTACGTGTTTTGATAATTTCAGAGTCAGGTTTTTTCATTTGCTCTTATGATTTTATACCTTTAATTGTCATAATTAAAATCACCTGTCAAAATTACAACTGAAAAAGTAACATTTTTGTAGATACGGATTACAAATTAAACACATTATTGTTGTGATGCAGGAGAAGTTATTTCAAAAGAAGCATTAAAGTAATATTCGATTTGCATGATTCGCCGTGAAATCCAAATAAAAAAGATAGCGTTTGGGCTCTGTTCATAATTACCACATAAATTATATTTTGATAGACACAAAGACAGGTATTTCCCGCATGTTATTAAAGATAATAATTGATTTTATTTTAATTTTCACAACTCAAATCAATTTTCAATGATATCGATATGTTAAACAAAATTAAAAATTAAACTGCCACTTTTTTCAATTTATATAACAAATAAGTAGTAGGTTTTTATCTCGCTATGACAATGTTCAAATAGAAACCATAAGTAGGTCAGTGTCCCTCTGTGTTCAATGATAGTTTGAGCCTAAGTGCATTTGAAAGGCAAATTATGTATTACCAGAAATGCTATCGCTTTATTTCTAAAAAAAACCCATCTTATGATTTTGGTACCTTGTTACAGTTTACAAAGAAATGCCATGTAGATTAAACATCTGTTGCTTCTTTTGCTCTGTTGGCAATAGGTTATAAAGTGAATTAGTATTTTGTATGATGCCACATCTACAATTTACATATTTACTGTCATAAATTAGCGAAACAACGAGCATTACACAATATAATAATACAATGATTGTTTAAATGAGAAAATGTTTCTAAATTTGATTTAACCATCAAAAGCACATATTTCGAAGCTGTAAATGTTTATATACCGACATGGATTGCACACATAAATAAATAGTTAAAATCTTAACTTTCTCTAAAACTTTGTAACGGTTATTAATTTTTTTTTTGTTAAAAAATTTATAACCGGCGTTGCATACTATCAACATTTTAGCAAAAATCATAAATAAAGATTATATAACAGCATGGGTTCCGACCTAAGCCGTAATTCCACTCTCAAAACCAGGTGTTAGAAATATTAATAAGTTGCATGATGGCGCGTATCATTTTGTATATAAACGCTTTCATTTCGTCTCACAATACCTAGAGTATAAAACCCATTGCTATACAAACGTAGTACAATAGCGTGTAACGAATTAGAAATACAATGATATAATTTATAGAGAAATTTTAAAGATGAAAGAAAAATCAGCTTGTATAAGTACCTTCAATAGCTTCAGACAGTAATGACATTTGTAACATGGAAAGTTAAAAAAGAAATCTTCTCATTTTCCAAATTCTTGTTCCAATATTTTCCTTTGCAGATAAGCAAATACTTGAAACGAATGCTAAATCATGAGCATGATATTCACACTTTTAATTATCATAAAAGAGTAAACATTTGTGAATTTACCGTCAACCGTCAGTTGTATAATTACATCAATTGTGTTGTAAAAGATATAGAATTAAATGTTAATATTCTTTTTACTCTAGCCAATTAATCAGAGATATGTGAAAGGAACAAGAATGTTTTAAAACTTTTAGAAGAGGATTTGTTGATAAAAGAAGGTTCAAGAGAGACCAGTGCGCTTTGGCAAAATACTTAATAGTGATACATTTGTACGTTATACAATAGTAAAAAAGGAATACCTAAAGAAAGCCAATAAAGACAAAATTTAAATGTTGCCTCCTAGCACCGGCTTAGCTTAAGCGGAATTCAACATTAAATCACGAAAATGGTGTACTTTGTGTACTCATATCGGCCATGATATATGAGCAGTTAGTTGTTTTCTGATATCATACATGGTTCTACTGGTTCCCGCGCTTGCTTGAAATAATGCACGAATGGACAACTGCATTCATCTAGTAATAATTGGAACTCGAAAAATGAACAATAACACTGACTGAAGACCAAACAAATCAGCATTGGCTTCTACTGATTGTTCAAACTCATCGTTATATACGTTTGCATGTTCCTTCTCGCACATGTGTGTTGTTCTGATATTGTAATTTGAAATATTTATCAACTAATTAAGCTTATAAAAGCGAAACAAGTTTTGATAAATTGTGTTGGGTTTTGATCTATTTAACCTATATTAATTAAGAGAAACTATTGTTCTACATAATTTACCTTCACCTTTATATTATCTACTAGTGTACCATTGCATTGAAAGTAATTTATAGAATACATTGCTAACGGTAAAATTCAAAGTAAATAACATGGATGAAACTATGATTATGACTATAGAGCTATGTTTATATGATGTATAAAAACCCACTAACACGACGTTCATGCCAAGCGGATACGAACTATGCCATATTACGGCTGATTCAAATAACGTATAAATAAAATGAGCAATTTGCTGATTAATTACATAATGACGTGTTTTTATTTGCCCATATACCATTCACAACATAACAATATGCCTGATGACAGCCCTTGTATTTCAATGACAAATGTTAATCTGAAACCAAAGCAAATGTAACATACTCAACACCTTTTGATTACCATTGTCATATCATATATGCAAAGGCAATGAATCTTACTAATATAACAGTATCTGCCAGTTTTATGCCCCACAATGTTTATTGATTGCAAGTCATTATGAAGTGTCTGTTTAAATGATAATGATATTTAATAAGAAAGTTAGTTATTTGTATAAAATGACGAAGTAATCAAAGAGTATTAAGTAAAACTACAAGCAGATTATAGTGCTAATTGTGTATTACTTTTGATCATAATTATTGTCTTCTACAACACTTTATAAGATGGTAAAAGTGACATTATGCCAATGTTTCAATTGTCAAATGGAGCTGAATCGACTATACATTTTAAAAGTTAATATTGGAAAATGTGTAAGATGAAATGTAAGTTTGCATTAAATATAGAAAAGACTGACGCATTCTTTTCATAAATTGAGTGTAACACGTTAATTCTGATGGCCATTTATCTTAAAGTAAATAGATATCTTGTTGAAACATCGTAGCTAGAAATAAGCCTAATTGCAAAATTCCTTGCTCATTATTATGCCTAAGCTTAATAGAACAAAAATACCTATAAGTATTAACATATTATTATTAATTGTGTATAACTGTTATCAATGCACTTTACATAGCGAGACTACAGCCTTATTATAAACATATAAAGGTTTTAGCAAAACTTCAGAATTACAAAGCACATGGGTGACGTCTGAAATATAAACAATATCATCAGACGCTAACAACACTCGTAAAAATGTAATATTTTCAAAAACTACTTTACTTATACCCTCAAAATGTTGTTTCAATATTTTGCCTTGCAAACAAAAAATTTAGATCAATTATAAATCATATATATGCAATTTCCACTAACAGTCATCATAAAATGTAGCATTCTGACGTACTTTGTGATTTCAACTTAAATAATGCCATAATTGTAATGTTGTATAAATCAATTCAGGTGACATAGTTGTTTCCTTAAGTATGTTATTTTGATATATGATTCTAAAAATTATTATTACAATTAATTAAAAACGTTCAGAAGTGAATGATGTTACGAAAAAAAAGATCAGTGTCATAAAAAAAGAAGCAAACTTGCGTTATACTTAGGAAATAATTATCAATTGTGAGTGCATTGTCGTATGCTGATGCCCGGTTCGCGTTCAAATATGCAGAAATATAATCACGAAGTCCAATAGGCCTGCGTAATTAATTACAAAGCATTTGAACGATAAACAGTGCATTATTATACTACATTACTAAAAAAAATTAATACACATTTCCATTCTAATTTCCTGAA